ATGATTATTTTCATTATCAATTATTTAACAAATTGTTTGGTTAAAATGCCAATCACAGTTTCCAAAGCCCAAGTTGACACACTTACACAGACTTTTTTGCTTTTGTGAAAAAACCTAAAGATATTCAGTTTACAATCATAAAGGAGTAAGAAAACAATATTCACATTTTGAGAAGCTGGAACCACTGAATATTTGGCATTTTGCTTAAAGAATGATTCAGTGATTAATAGATCAAAATCCATTAATTGGCTAGCCCTTCTTTATACAAACTCCCCTGAATTTTAGGGGGACAATGTTTATCAAAGCCTAAATAAAGTAATTATATTTATCATTTAGCATGTCTTTTGTGTACCATCCTTTAACATCACCAGACGCTTGACCTGTGCTGTCTTATACATACATACATACATGACCAGTCATTAAATCTAAATTTTTGCCATAAAAAAACCTCATTGGTTTATTTATGTGTATATCATTGTCCTGCTGTACTGTCCTATGAGTTGGAGACTGTACAAATAGAGCAGCTAGTCCTACAGTGTTTGTCCAATAAGGGTGTAAATACTTGCGACACATTTAAAAGAATAGTTTGATATTTTGGGAAACACTTTGTTTTCTTGCAGAAAGGTAGAAGATTGGTACCATTTGGTAAACATGTAGCTAGAGCCAGTAAACAGTTAGCTTAGCAAAAAGACTGGCAACGGGGAAACAGCTAGCCTGGTTCTGTCCAAAGTTTAACAAATATACATACAGTGCCTCCAAAGTTAACACGTTATCTTTCATTTATTTAAATTGTACATAGACATAAATGCAAAATATTGTGGGGAGTTACATGCTAGAACTATTATTTGGCCTCCGGGGACCCACTAGGAAGTCACTTTCCCAGAATCTCTGGTGGTTCCCTGTATTACCAAAACTTTTTTTACCTTTCTGTTTGTGTACAGATTAAACAAACAAGATAAAACATGTTAATACCATTTAGAGGTAGCGATAAGCAGATTTTTTAAAATTTGTAAATTTGGTTTCCAGTCTATGCTAAGCTAAGATAATTAGCTAATGGCTCCAACTTAATAGTTAAGGCACATATATAAGAGTGGTGTCAATCTTCTCATCTAACTTTTAAAATAAGTTTATTTCCCGTAATGTTGAGCTATGCAAAGTTTAAAGTCAGCACTTTAACATCGCAGTTATAGTTTAATTTCAGATCCAGAGTCCAACTAAAACAATGAAAACTGTCCCTACCTGTCCAACTATTCACACATGGTTTAGTAATATGACTTAAAAAAGGGGAAAATAGCTGCCCTGCACAATGTTTTTTTCCATAGCAGTTGCATTACCAACCATTGTGATTTTCAAATACTCATAATGGCTTCAAAGCCTCGGCCTTCTGCTGTATATCCTCCTCTGAAACAGCTGCTTGGTGGGTAACAAGGAGACAAGCCATCCTTGAACTAAAGACACAGGGTTGAAGCCTGTGTGTCTGCCCTGCTGAATTTTCCCCTGGCAAGAAAGTGAGCAAATACATTGCACCGTATCAAATGTACTTTTGCATCTGATAAGGTGCAATGAGTTTTTGCATAATTTCCATTCACTGGCCCAAAGGCACATCGTCATGAATGTCACAGGGCTTGTGTATTACAGAACTGCTGATATACAGTAATGGAACCCCAACCAGTACACAAAAATACCAACAGTGAAAAAATAAAATCCCGCTGTGGAGGAGCTGCATATGCAGCAACTATAAAAACAGTTGTCATTTTTGCACGTTGTTAGAACTTATTACAAATTAAACGATCAACCACAGTGTTGTGTTTTGTTCAGGGAAGTCCCCCTTAATTTAGGACTTTTTATGTATACAAATCGAGTGTCTAAAAATAGAGAAAGCTCATTGAGGCAAATTTGTGACCTGTTTTTTGCCCTATATAAATAAAACTGATTTGACATCATAATTGTTCAACTCTGAACACTGTTAAGTATGGGTTGATTTGTAGACTGGTTTACTGACTCCCAGGCTCTGCACTGGATCCAGTGTCAGAATGAAGTCTGTATTTTTTCAGTTGAATTTCTAGGGAACTCAACTCAGTGTAACATCCCAGAACAAGATTAAGGGCAGGAACAACTGTTTGTTGTTTCAGGCGCTGTGGGCATATTTTGATTCCAAATACAACTAACACTTCAGACAAGTCAATGCATCACAAGTAATGTTGTCAATTAGTCTCCAATTAAAACGAGTTACCGGCTGCAAAAAAATACATTCTGAAAGTCACCAGATGACGACATGCCACATAGCTGCTACAGCCTGCAAGCCCTTGCTCAAGCTCTTTGAAGTGGCTGTACTGTACTGTTATCAACTGCTTTTCTCTTCTAATCTCCAACTCTCTTTTAGCTCTGTTTATGGTCTCCACCAACTCTTCAGCTGCTAAAGGCTCACTATGAAAGTGCTGAGAATGAACTAAAACAGTAAAGTTGCAGCCGAACAGCTTAAAAATTAGCTGAAACAAACTACAAAGCTCTGTAAAGCAGAGGGGAGCTGAAGATTCAGGTGGTAATTCTCTGTAGGTTCATCATTATGAGCGACCATTTTCACATTGTCATTAGATACATTATTAATTATACAACATTGATTTTTGCTTCTTTAAAGACTATTTGTATCTTGAGTCACAGTCTTCCTGCAAACACAGTGTATAGAATAGTACAGTACAGTACAGTATAGTACAGTACAGTACAGTATAGAATAATATAGTACAGTGCTGTACAGTATAGTATACTGTACTACAGTATAGAATAGTATACTGTAGTACAGTACAGTACAGTACAGTATAGTAAAGTACAGTACAGTATAGTATACTGTAATACAGTACAGTACAGTATACTGTAATACAGTACAGTACAGTACAGTATAGTATACTGTAGTACAGTACAGTAATGTACAGTACAGTATAGTAGTATTTTCTTACCACAGACACTTGCAGCAGCCGCACCAGCAGAGGCAGCAAGTGTTGGGTCGGGGCTGTCCAGGGGCCTGGGGTGGGGCCTCGATGTGTGCCGCCTGCCTTTTTCTCATCTCCACTCCACTCACACTCCGGGGCTTCACAATGGATACACACAGAAAAAAACATAGTTAAATTCAATTCAAATAAACAATAATGTAACAGAGAGCTCAGGTTCAAATGTGGTCCCCATGTTTTACTTACAATATATCTTATGGGGGGGGGTAAAAGAAATTGTGTGTGTGTGAGAGAGAGATGAAATGAGAGAGAGAGACAGCACTCAAGCAGGACAAAGAGGATTCCCTTCCTTGTACGGTACAAGGATTTCTGGCATAAAGCCAAGTCTTTCACTTGGCTTTGACAGACACTACACATACATTTCAATGGGTGCAGACAGAGGGAGAGAAACGGGGTCTACACATTGCAGGAACAAGACACAAAAGTGCAATAAATACAAAAAACTCATGCACACTCATATTAACATTCAGATGTTTCTATATCCATCTTCTGTCTGGCCTGTTGTTGCCTCAGAATGTGCAGCATCCTTTGAACAGGCAGGAGATGAGGATGTTAACAGGGATACACCACAAAACTAATATTGTGGTGCCTCCTTTATTAGTGACCCTGTGGACACACTGAATGTGTTGCTGTTGTCTAATGGACTTTGATTTGTTTTAAATGAGACCAGCGCTTCATAGCACTGGAGATACAGTTATTGGTTGAGGTTTCTACTTAAGCTTTGATGTTTCTGTTTCTGAAATTCGCTCTTTAATGAAGCAAAAATGCGCAGTATGTGGTATGTGTGTAAACAGACTGATGATGGCACAAGATGTCATATGTTAAATGAAACCCTCTCAAATGCTTTGTTTGCTATGCTTATTTAAGCCTTTTGGTTTCATTAAAACATAATCTATGGTTTATTTGATTGCCTAATGAAATAAATATTAGTTGAAATTGTGAAAAACCTTTTGAGAACAGTAACAGGAATGTTAAAGGGTCACTTCACACAAAAATTAGGTGGATGGTGGTGAATAGAATTTTATTTCTGCAACTCAATAGGTGAGATTTGAAAAAGTCAAAGGCAACGTGTCTTTCCACGTGTCTCGGTTACTAAGAATAATCCACTTATCTCACTAGGGCTGCAATTATGTTCATTATCAACCAATATGGCAATTACTTTCTCGATTATTCCATAAATAGTTTAGTCAATGAAAATGAATGAAAAGTAAGTAAAAGTAAAATTCAATTTAAATTAAATTTTTTCTCTATTTTTTTTTAAGTTTTCTAGCTTTGTTTGACTAACAGCCTAAAACCTTGAGATAGTCCTATGGTGTTCAGAAAAATCACTGAAATGATTAATCATGGTTAGGAAAATAGCTGACTTCGCGATTAATCAACAAATTTCACTGTCACCATTTTTCATCAGGATTTTCTACTGAATAAATGTTACTGATTCCAACAGACTGACTTTGAGTATGTCATTTTAGGCATTTTTTTTGGCGATGGAAGTGGTTAACGAACAAAAGATTCAATACTGTTACTGAGTGGAAGGCTCAGAAAAGAGGGTCAGTATAGTTCATCAGCTGCTACTTGAATTCAACAAACCTGGATTGTGCACTGTTTGCCACAACTTTCCTTTCGAACAGTTGAGCAAGACTTTGATGAGCTACCCCTCTTCCGCTGCAGCTGTACGTAGGCATGATTTTAACTTAATTGGCCTCCAGTTACAAAAGTGTGGACCTAACATCTATGTAACCTTCCTTATCCTTAAAGTCTCTGTGCACAATCCCGTCATCACCTAGGGTTTTCCCTGGCCTTTAGAGGCTTTGAAGGTGAAGAACTGTGAAGAGGCACTTTGACATCACACAACAGCTCTGAAAGCGGTTTTCAAACCCTTTACGCTACTCTAAATAGAAATACTACTCTCTAAGAACTCATTCTAATGCCTGAGATAATAACATACAGTATAGTCTAATGCAGTCTTTTTCATCTCCCTCCAAGTGGAAGATAATAACACTTGGCGAGCTTCTTATGAGCCGGGAAAACCCTTATCCCATTGTACGGTAAGCTTAACCAGCTCTCTCACAGACAGTCCAATAGCCAAAGTCTACACCAGGAAACACTGCGAAGATCAGCTAAGCAGAGGATGCCATGTCAGAACTAATTCTTCTTTTGTTACCAGATAGAGGACATAATAATGAACACAGACTCCACTTCACAAATTGGGGCTTTTAGGCTTAATTTCAACAATGGGCATAGTGTAAAAAATGCACTAATTAATTACAGTCTTGTCATCTGGAAATAAAAAGTACAATAAAATAAAGAGAACTCTTACCTCGAGAGTCATGGTTCAAATTAAACTCCTCATTAAACACTTAAAAATCCAAATAAAAATAACTGTGTACCAACAGGGGAGCCTTCTTTTCCTCTCTTTCGTTCTACTCTGCATATACATCTACTATAATGACGATACACAGCAGGTAAGGCTGAGACGACCTGGCTAATATGCAAATGTTGTCGCCCGGCTAGTGGAGTGGCTATCAGTTATTCAGCGACCAGGCAGCGTCCGTGGAAAAACAGGCTGCTGGATGCAAACGACAGCGAGGATACGGCTTTGTTCTAAACCTGGAGAAGGAGGCCGCATTGACAGGACATGCAAATATTGAGTGGAAATACAAATACACTGAGATGAGAGGGGGGAAAAAAGCGATGACGAAAAAGAGAGCTACAAGATCGGACTAACATGCATCGGTTTTTTCTTAAGTATCCAGATGATCACCCCCCCCTCACTTTTTACACATTTTATTTATTATCTTTAATTGATTGAGGAGGCTAACATTTGAACAACCAAAATATAGGAAGTCATATCATCCAAAATCTGTTCTATCCGCATATCTTATCCAATATGCGCTGATATAAAAAACTGTTTTTTTATGGTAAATAATGCAGAGAAATGTGGTAATATTATTGGTGTCACTGCAAAGGTCATCCAGCAGAGTGCGCTGTGATTTACAATACTGTGGCAAGCAGCACAGAGTAAAAGAGAAGAAGCAGCTCTCAGCAACGTCAAATTAAATTGGTTGACAATGTACATTGTCAACCAATTTAAGTTAAAGAATATTCAACCTAAATATTCTTTAATAAAGTTGTTTGTTTAGGAAACCAGCCTTCTGAGTACCGCTGCATTGTCATATCGGTGCAAAATCAGTGCAAAATCAGTGCAAAATCAGTGCACATATACAAAGGTCACAAAAGTCCCATATCAGTTCGGCTGGGCTTTACATCTGACTGACGTTAAAAAGTAACCCAATGGTCATAATACTTTCACAAAAATATCTTAACTAAAGGTCCACTTACTAGCTTTTTAAACATAAAAACATTTTGTGGCTTTCCTCAGCGGTTTGAGTTTGTTAAGTTGTCATGGAGATGTTATAAAGTAGTCCTAAAGATAAACATTTCCATGACATCAAAGCAAAGACCACTGAGGAAGACTGCTAGGTGCGGTTGACATCGTGAACAGCTAGTTATTGGACCTTGAATTAAGATCATTTTTCCAAGGTCAAGGGTGAACTTTCACACTCAACTGATGTTTTGAGGAGACAATTGTTCCTATTTTCAACAACAGTAAAGTGATATTAAACCGCAAAGTGCAATGCACTGTGCTTCCACTTTTTTTTCTCAGAACCTTTCAACTTTAAATAGGTGCATCATCAATGAGTAGAAGAGTTGTAAAAATAGTCGCCCTTTGTTGCAATGGCGATTTCGGGGTCCAACTATTATCATACAGGATCTGATAAGTTAAGCTATATCTGGAGTGTGAAAACTCTGGACAGGAATAACCATGCCAAAGGAATGTTGTTTGTTCTGCAGAAACCTTAAACCTTTAAAACCTCAATCACAAACTGCCATTATGTTATATTACCAATAACATTATTTTTACTTTGATGGTTAAGCCGCCTGGTGTTTTATGTTATGAGACATTTTACACCTCCAACCGACGACCAAACCCGACCAAAACTTTCTTACTTGCCTCAATTTCAAACGAGGTAAACTTGGAGATACAACGTCTCCTTCGGGTACTGCTAATAACATTAGACCATCACACATCATACTGGACGGCAGTTAAACTTACCATGAATTAGTGAGTTCCTAAAAACAGGTCAGACAGAGCAGTCATGGTGTGAGGTAATAGGTTGCTGGACGATAGCAGGCTGGTTGACGGAGTGACTGACTGGTGGACTGTCTGGGCGTCTGTTCGGCTTTCTGGAGATGTGGGGCAAGGCGAGAACGTTCTTTTTACCACTAGGAAGAGAAGTTACTGGTCTCACCATCCCTGACCGACAGGCACAGAAAGGGACACGAGAGCTGAGGTGAAATGTAACTACTTCCTGTCCTTTTTTCCTTATTTCGCTTGATTCACTCGCCGTTGCCTCCTAGGCTTCCTTGGATCTCGGTGAAAGGGTCATTTATGGGCTTGAGAGTACAGGGAGCGGTGAAAGTACAGCATCTGAAAAACAAAGCAAGAACTTTGAGCTTTACAGTAAAAATCTGATCATTTTATCCACTAAAGGTGCAGTTATTTATCTTTAGAGACAATGGTGAGGAAATATATCTGCTACTTCCATAACGCACACTAGCAAATGCACCAGTGAGAGCAGAACCCCTCTCTATACATTACACACTGTATCACTACACTCACATGATCTATAGAGTCTGAGACTTTAACCATTTTTGATAACAATCCCTTTCAGTTTGTCGGAACTGTGACTTTTGTTGGGTTCAGACGACACAATATTTTTTATGTTAGGATGGTCACTGCGTCAGATTAGGCGATTATAGAAAGTCGCAAATTCTTATTGAGACTTGACCAAAGATAGCTCGCCATCTTCCACAACCTGCGTGATGTCACCAGGAAGGAGGTGCTATGGAAGCGAACAATGGCGTCCAAAGTGTATGATACATGCACGTTTCGTGAAACGTTTCACAGTTCCACTCAGCAGGACCAACAACATCATTCCTCTTTTACCGCGCCATGTTTACAGTCCTGTGCTCCTATTGGTCAATGTCACACAACGCTTTTGTCGTCAACGGAACAACAATTCGGACACTCCAGTCTTTTTGTCTGGGCATCATGAGGCGTCCCAGATGTCTGTTGGCTCATGTTATCGAACTGATATAGTGTAGTCTGAACCCGCCATAATCCTCTACATATACTGAGCGGGACGGGAAAGGGAGTTGAAAATAAACTTGTTGTGCTCTCTGGTGGACAAACTATGTAATGGCCACAGTGTTTAAAAGTTGAAACGATTAGTTGATTAATCAAGTAGGTTGGCAAAGAAATTCTCTTAAACAATTCAGGTCATTGGCTAATTGTGTCAGAACATGAGGATATTGTGCTTTTCTCTTTTATATAACTGAAAATATGTTAAAGTTGTGTTATTTTAAAGGTCCAGTGTAACATTTAGGAGAATATTTTGGCATAAAAAAAAATTTCATAGATGTGTTTTCATTAGAGTTTAATCACCGGAAAATAAGATTTTTTGTGTTTTCATAACCTCAGAATGTTTCAGTAGCCCCAAATGGACAAACCAAACACTGGCAGTAGATAGGGCATTTCTAAGTTTTGGCGAGTTTCACAGCCACAATAGCTTCTCCTACATGCTTGGAAGCTGAGCGGCATTGGTTGCAATCTGCAACTTCACTGCTAGATGCCACTAAATCCTACACACTGGTTCTTTGAGATGTCCCCACATACTCTGGAAAAGTGTAATTATATCATTTTAATTGATTAATCTGAAAAACAATAATTTGTTGCAACCTTATACTGTGTCTAAACCACTTTGAACATATCTCTGTCATTTCTGTTCGGCAGTTTCCTGTTATTTGTCGCCAAACATACGCTGACACTGATATATCTGCGATAAGCTACAGGATGTGGTCAAAATAATATGGATTACGCCAAATCAGCAAACGAACCAAATGCAGTAAATGACTGATCATCACATTTAGTTTAAACACAACCACGGCTCCACACTTACTCACAGTCAGAAGCCATTTGCTGGATTTTGTCCCTGAAGGAAACCGAGACCCTAAAGGCTACAGAGCCTCCTTGGCTGCTCTCATGCTGCATGTTTTCATATAGGAATTACTGTTCCAACAACTTGCTTACTCATAAACAGCAGCTTAGAAGTGTTCACATGTTGACACTGGAGACTCTTTATGTTATGAACTATCATTAGTCTGTTGCAACTTGATGACTAAAATTAGCAAGCAAACACACTGAAGAAGAACTGAAGAGGGTACAGATAACCTCTAAATTCTTATTAAACAATATGGTAATATTTAAAATTACATAACATATGAACACATTAAACATGGAATTCTTATTCATAGGGTGTTTGTAGCGTATAATGTTTCTGTGGTACCTTGAATTTGATGTATTGGTGTCTTTAGTCTGGAACAAGCGAGAGAAATTACAGCACAAATCAAAACTAAGAGTTGACATGTACTGTAGCGACCAACCGTCCCAGCAAGCTGTCTTAATACTCTTCTACTGTAAAACCCATCCCTTGGTGAGAGAAGCTTCAATATCTGCGCATGCCAGTTTAAACTGGTTCGAAAACAACAGTGTCCCTTGTATATTAAGAGTCTATGAAGAATGTTTTTGCATGGGTGCGAAGATAAGGCTTTTGTGTTGTACTTGTGAGGGTTTCAACCGCCTGTTCTCAAGAGGAAGATGTCCACAGAGTAACTTTAGTGACACACTTCCTGAAAAATAATTAGTGTGAACGAGCATCCTTAGCCTGTCTGAGTTATGTCTGAGCTAGAACTGAAATCATTAGTCGATTAATGGATTTGTCAATTGACAAAAAAATGATCGAGAACTATTTAGATTTTTGATTGATCGCCTACATAACTTTTCAAGCAAAGCTGCCATCACCCCACCTCGTTATAGCTTCTTAATTGTGAATATGTGCTGCTTTGATCTGCTTTATATTTTACTGTAAACTGAAAATCTTTTGACATTTGAAGATGTCACCTTGGACATTTTTCACTACTAAGTGACATTTCAACTAATCGAGACAATAATCGGCTGGTTAATCGATAATAAAATGAATCGTTATTCGCCTGGACTGAATCGAAAAACAGTTTAAATCCCTAAATACGTTTTATTGATGATTGGAACAAATGTAAATGCATCATCTATCTACCTATTCTATTAACTAGAGGATCATCCGTGATGTCTTTAGACAGTGGTACTGAACCATTTTAATGTTTTAAATCCACATCTTCGAGTAAAACATCTCCAACCAACAACTAAATCACATCAATCTCACATATGCTGATAAATCCGGCGGTAATCTGTGAAACCTCTCTGAATGAGCAGTAAAACCTGAATGAGATGAATCAGGAAGTCTGCCAGGATGTAGTGGCAACATAACCTGGGCTCCTCTGACTCAACACACCCATGGGAAACTGCAGTGTGGGTGCTCCCTCAGCTGTGCACTACATGATCTCCTTCGCAGTGCATGGCAGGAGAAAGAAAAACCAGCTCAAATAAATCCAAGCAGTGGGGGTGGGGGGTGAACTTTAAACTGAGGAAGGTGAAGAGATAGTTCATGGGTGCAACGGAGTGTTTCTGTCGCAGCACTGGCTCTGTTGCATCTGCCTGAAGGCCTGTGCATATCTTCAGAGGAGAAGGAGGCAGGCTCATCGGACCCTGCTTTCTCCCTCTGTGCACACTAGCTCTGGCTGGCTAGCTGCTGGGGGTTTTGCATGGGTTTCTCCTGCAGCTGTCCGAACCCTCTGAGCCCAGCCGCTGCAGGTCCGAGCAGCCGCGGGAGAGCAGACCCCCTCCCAGCTGACACCACGGAGCGATAACGCACTGAGAGAGAGAGACGATAGGATGAGAGAGAGAGAGGGAACGAGAGGAGGACGAGATGAGGAGGCTGCAACAGTGCCCACTGTCGCACCGACATTATTCACAAATCAAACACCACCCACTTTCCCCTTGCTAGCTTTAGCCGACAGCCTGAGATCCGCTATCTGTCGCTGCGAGAGGAGGAGGTGGCAGCTAGCACCGTGCTAACGTCAGCTAGCCAGCCCGTGTGGGGCATTAGCGCAGAATAATCAGCATCTTACCCCTTTCTGTTGGGCTGTCAGCGTCCTAGGGTGATAGGTGTGCAAACGCGATGTCCCGATGCTTATTTAACGACATCGTAGATGGGAATCCCGCGGTGTAATGTCCATCGCCGCTGTTTTTCTTCCATCCGCCCCACTTCAGCACCGAACGCCGCCGAGCCCCTGGATGCACTGCGCAGGCGCGCTGCCACCGCTGCTCTGTGGCTGCAGTCGGTGAGAAGATGCACTGAGGCTCCACATACACAGGGTCACGTTACATCTCTGCTGCTGTGCAACAACTACTGCGCTCCGAAACACGAGATATTCATTTACAAAGTCCGCTGCGTGGATTTTATTCCATAGCAAACATTTACAAGATACGAAGCCATGCAAAAAAATCCTTCTAAGATTTTTAAATACTGTCTGTAAGGTGGTAAATAATAACGCTTCATACTAGAGGAAATGTATTCTCTAGTTATAGATCCGTAAATAATTAAAACAAAAGGCCTATATAAACACAGATACATCAGAGCAATTCCTGTAAGAAATAGTCACTTCAGTAATCTTACAGTTATTCTTGTTATAGTGGGAGCGCTCCTCATATCCAATCAAAATCAAATCATATAATATGTTGTATTATTCCTCTTAATACTGTAGATTGGCTATTGCTGTAGGCTATATTACTACTGTATCTATTCAGTGACTTTATTACCATATCATAGTTTAATATTATATCTTTATTACATCTAAACAGTATAATGGCCCTATAGTGCATTATATGTACATGTGGTTATTCTGTGGTAGTTATTTAGGGGACATGAACAGATAACTAGATATTTTAAATATCAAAATAGAAATTCCAATAAAATTTGCTTTTTAAAACCTCCAAGAGCAGTTGCACTCAGTTTGAGACTATGCCTGTGTTTCATGCAGTAGAAAATGATAAAATGTGAAATAAAGAGACAGAATACAAAACTCTATAATTTATAAAGTTTTAAATTGACAGTAATTTTGTCTGAGGTCAAACAGCAAGGCCTGTAAATGGATGTTTGATGTTTTCAGCTGCTGGAACGTACTGTAGTTCAATGAGAAACTGAGACAGCTAAAGGTATATTTGAAACCAATACTACAGCATTTTCCAACAAGATTAGTAATTTCATTTGAAACTCTGCTGAGTACAGTTTCAATCCATCCACCTATTCATTCATTTATATCTGCTATATATGATCAGAGATCTAATACACAAGGTAAACCTGATCTTTTCCTGACTTACAGCTCTCTAGCTTATACTGTCAGTTGTCATATATTCATTTAAATTCACATTTTAAAGAATAAATCATTATTGCTGAGAACATCTGAATTAATGTCTTTCAGTTTTGTTTTTTGATATTTCACTCAGTCAATGTGCATCTGCAGCGTGAGCATGAATCCTCAGTAGTGATGACTGTTCAAAATATATTTTCCTACACAGGGGGGCACCAAAA